GTGAGAGAGGGAGAAGGAACACTTGCTCAATGCTCTCAGCCTCATCTCTGCGAATGGCTTCACCAAGATAAGATTTTTATTATCATGCCTTGTTGATCTCAATATAGTATATATATTTGTTTGTTGTTTTAAGATATCCATAAAATGTATGTTTCATTGAACAATCTCAAGCATAAACAAAAGCATGTGCATTCAAGTCCAAAAAAAAGATTGATTGATTAGTTGATATTCATATGGTGCACCAGCTTGCATCATTTTCTTGTTATGTATTAAACCACCTTTCAATTTTGCATCTCCAGCAAATTTCTCAGGGCCTTATTCCACGCACTATTCACTTATCTTACTTCTTATCATTTCGTATCGATCCACCTTTGTGTTAATCAATCCAAGTTACACATTGCAATGTAGATGCCAACTATGCATGCTCAGTACTAAAATCATACCTGCCCAGCATGCTTATGTCAATTATGTTAGTCATTTGCAAGCTACAATGCTTATATTATTTTTACGCTTTGGTCATGCAGCATTATATCGGTCATGTGCAAGGGACCCAAGCCTCCAAACAACAAACAAGAAAACAAATGCTCTCATGTTTCCTACCCAACATCTCAACACACTGCCATTATCATCTATTCCTTAGACAAATCTCTCTCTATACTTCGAGTCATAGAAGTTCAAGCACCACTGAAAGAGCCGCTGGAAGTGTGGAAGAAGAACAGAGCCAGTCAAAATCCAAACACCACTGCTGGAAGAGTCGCTGCCAGAAGCACATGCTACCACCAAATCATGCCAAACTGTCACCGTTGCAACAACGGGATATCCCAAGTTCATCATGCCATGCAATAACCCAAACAAATACTAAGAAGGCTATGTTGCAAGAGTTTTTGTAGCTTATGCCCATCAAATCCTTTTTTGATGATTATGGTGCACTTGGGGGCTGAGGAAGGAATTTATTGGATTCACCACGGCAGTGATCCCAAAACCCCAAATGAGCTTAAAAATCCATTATTACCAAAACCACTATTCCCAGACCAAAAATCTCATTGAAATCCCAATTATGTTACTATGACCTCCAAGTTCGCCATCACTTGTTGTTGTAACCCAACACATTTGCTGCAGTGACCACATACAAAGCTCAAGCTTCAATAGCCAAGTCCAAGCTTTTGGTTCCTAAAACATGTTCACAACAGCTGCAACAAACAATACCTAAGTTGCCATAACTGA